GTCGTGCCCGCCTTCCCGCGCCGAGGGGTGCGCCCCCCCCCCCCCCCCCTCCGGGGTCAGGGCGCGCAGGCCGCACCCCCCCGTCGCCCGCGGTGGCCCGCGCCTTCTTGGGGGCACGGCCCGTCCCACCAAAGCTTCGCCCTTCGCGCGCGCGAGAGCCTCTCACGCCCAAGGCGGCAGGAGCTGCCGCCTGGCTTTAGCCTGCGCTCCTTGGCTCTGTGCCTGCATTCGCTTCCGGTGCAGCCCACCGCTCGCTTGGACCGGCGCCGGACCGTCTCGCACACCCTGGTGCCCGCGGACTTACAAAGCTTGGCCCTGGCAGCGAGATTATGATCCTGAGCCCGGTTGTCTTTCACACTGACACGTTCTTCTTCTTCTGCCACCTCGCCTTTCTGCGGCCACCTTCTTTGTGGCGTGATGGCGGTGGCCCCAGGCGAGACGGCCTGATGTCGTCTGTCCCACGAGCGGGTGGAGCTGAGGCGGGCCAGAGGCGCTGACTCGGAGGAGTGGTACAGATTGTGTAAGTCCGTGCTCTCCCCAAGACCCCGTCAAGGGCTATCCCACCCGGGCCAGAGTCGGGAATGTCTCGGACAGGGGGAGGGAGAGGAAGGGGACTATGAAGATGGTGGTGATGATGATGATGGCGATAATTATGAGGATGATGGTGCTCAGGATGATGATGCTGATTAGAATGAGGGTGATGATGATGGTGATACTGCTGACGATGATCGTGTTGATGGTGGTGGCGTTGATGATGATGACGATTATGATGGTGATGCTCCTGGCGATGATGACGATGATGATGATGATGGTGATGGTGAGGACGATAATGATGACGATGATGACGATGGTGGTGATGATGATGCTAATGATGATGCTGCTGATTATGATGGTGATGATGTTGATTGCGATGGCAATGCTGATGTTCATGATGCTGATGCTGATGCTGGTGATAATGATGTTGATGATTATGATGATACTGATGATGCTGATGATGAGTATGATGATGAGGATGATGCTGCTGATGCTGATCATGCTGATGATGATGCTGATGATGATGTTGATGACCCTTATGATGATGATACTGCTGCTGCTGATGATGATGATGATGATGATGAGGATGACGATGATGATGCTGCTGATGATGGTGATGCTGATGATTATGATGGTGATGGTGATGATGCTGGCGATGCTGCTGCCGCTGCTGCTGCTCTCACTGCTGCTGACGACGATGATGATGATGCAGATGATGATGATGATGATGATGATGATGATGATGATGATGATGATGATGATGATGATGATGTTGATGATGATGATGATGATGATGATACTGATGATGATGATGATGAGGATGACGACGACGATGACGATCATGACTGGGATGATGATGTTGATGCTGATGCTGATGATGATGATGCGGATGACGGCACTTTTGTTGATGGTGATGATGCTGTTGTTGATGATGATGGTGATGTTGATGCGGATGATGATGATGCCGATGATGACGCTGATTATGTTGATGATGCTGTTGATGATTCTGATGCTGATGATGCTCATGATGATGATGCTGCTGATGATGGTAATGATGCTGATGACGGTGATGCTGATGCTTATGATGAACATGATGAGGACGACGACAACGATGATGATACTGCCGATGATGCTGATGCTGATGATGATGATGCTAATGATGATTATGATGACGATGCCGATGATGACGCTGATGATATTGATGATGATGCTGCTGCTGCTGATGGTGATGCTGATGCGGATGATGATGCTGCTGATGATGATGATGCGGATGCTGATGATGACGCTGATGATGCTGATGATGATACTTCGGCTGATGATGATGCTGATGATGTTGATGATGATCATGGTGAGGATGGTGATGATGGGGATTATGCGGATGCTGATGATGATGGTGGTGATAATGGTGATGATGATGATGAGGAGGAGGAGGAGGAGGAGGAGGAGCAGGAGGATGTGGAGGATGAGGGTGGTTAGGAAGAGGATGATGATGCGGAGAAGGAGGAGGAATACGAAGGTGCTGATGCTGAGGAGGAGGAGGATGATGAGGGTCGACACGCATCGCGACCGATTGTTGTTTCGTGGCTTCGGCCTCCAAGGACACATTTATAGCTGGGAACAAAAAGGCCCAGGGTGAGGAATTCATTTCGACGATCCTGAGAGGGATCGGGGGGGGGGGATTTTGAATGGATGCCGTGCGTTGGGTTGAACGGGAGAGGAGGGGGGGGGGGGGTGAAGGAGGATGAGGCGGAGGAGGAGGAGGAGAGGGAGGAGGAGAGGGAGGAGGATGAGGAGGAGGAGGAGGAGGAGGAAATGGAGGAGGATCGCCAGTACCAGAGGAGGAAGAGGAGGAGGAGGAGGACGACGAGGTGGAGGAGGATGACACGGGTAGGGGTGGGGATGGAGGTAAAGACGGAGGGAGAGAGCTAAGGATGACGACGAATTTGATTTATGTTGATGGTGATGATGATGATTATGCTTATGATGATGCTGCTGCTGTTGATGATGATGATGATGATGTTGTTGATGATGATGATGCTGATGATGATTATGATGATGCTGATGGTGCTGATGGTATGATGATGGCGGTGATGATATGATGAGGATGGTGATGGGGATTATCATGCTGATGATGATGCTGATGATTAGTGTACGCTGCTGGTGATGGTCATGTGACTATTGGTGGTCCTGGCTTTGTGAAATGCGTTGGCTGATGATAATGGTGATGCTCATGCTGTTGCTGATGATGAGGATGAACCGTGGTGATCCATGCTGGTTCATGGTGGTGCTGAGGTTGATGATGCTGATTCTGACGACGATGACGCTCATGATGATAACGATGATGTTGATGAGGATGATGCTGCTGATGATGATGGTGATGGTGTTGGCGACGATGCAGACGATGATGCTGATGGTGCTGATGATGATGCCAATGCTGATGCTGGTGGTGCTGATGATGCTCGTGATTATGATAATGATGAGGACGATGCTGATGTTGTTGATCGAGATGGTGATCTGATGATGGTCAGGATGATGCTGCTGATGATGATGATGATCAAGATGATACTGCCGATCGCGATGATGCTTCTGGTCATGATGATGGCGACAATACTGTTGATGATGCTGGTGATGACGATGATCATGATTATGATGATGATGATGATGATGATGATGATGATGATGATGATGATGATAATGATGATGATGATGATGATGTTGATGATGATGATGATGATGATGACGTTGATGATGATGATGATGATGATGACGATTATGATGATGAGGATGTTGGTGACCATGACGATAAAGCTGATGCTGCTGATAATTGTGATAATGGTGGTGATGCTGCTGCTGCTGATGATGAATATGCTGCTGATGCTGATGCTGATGATGGTGGTGGTGGGGATGAGGATGATGCTGATGATGATGAGGATGATGATGCTGGTGATGATAATGCTGGTGATGCTGATGATATGATGCTGAGGATCATAATGATGATAAAAATGATCATGATGATGATGATGGTGGTGATGATCGTGATGATGATGAAGATGAGGAGGAGGAGGAGGAAGGGGAGATGGAGGGTGCGGAGGGGGAGGAGGAGGAAGAGGAGGAGGAGGAGGAGGAGGGGGAGAAGGAGGAGGAGGAGGGTGATTCTGATGACGAGGATGAGGACGAGGATTATGCTGCTTGTGATGATGATTGTGATGATGGTGATTATGAGGAGGATGATGCTGATGATGATGATGTTGATGATGATGGTAATGATGGTGGTGATGATGATGATGAAGATGATGATGATGATGATGATGATGATGATGATGATGATGATGATGATGATGATGATGATTATGATGATGATGATGATGATGATGATGATAAAAAGATGGTGATGAAAATGATGGTGATGATATGATGGTGATGATATGATGCTGCTGATGATGATGATGAGGAGGAGGAGGAGGAGGAGGAGGCCAACGGGGGAGAAATGGGAAAGAGGCAGGGGACGAGGGATTACGATGAGGAAGGAGGAGGAGGAGAAGGAGGAGGAGGAGGAGGAGAAGCACCAGGAGGAGGAGGAGGAGGAGGAGGAGGAGGAGGAGGAGGTGGAGGAGGAGGAGGAGGAGGAGGAGGAGGAGGAGCACGTCTTGTGGGGCTTAGTGTGGGTCCTGGCGGCCTACGTATAGCCCAGGTGCCATCACGTTGGGGAAGGGGGGGGGATGGGAATTTGGGAAGAGAGCACCGATTGACGATTGAGACTGTGCAAGTCTCAGTTTAGGCTGTTCCAGCCAGTGGCCCGAGCTACCTGCCTCACTGTTGGCCTGGTCCGAGCCACCTGCCTCACTGTCGACACGCGCTCACGCTTTCCACTGCCAGAGGAGACGCCTCGTTGCTTCGCACCCTCAAGGCCGCCCGGGCGCCCTGTGGCCTCGTGGTGCTCGATGCGTCGGCGATGCGGCGCGATCCTCCGACCCCATCTGGCCTATTCAGGGGGTCTCCCGATGTGTTCCACGACGTCGGATGTCAGAGGGGAGCCGAGGGGGGGCCAGAGGTGGCGGGCAGTATCCCTAGCCCTGGGTGCTCCCAAGCTTTTCCCCCCAAAAGGGGCGTCCATGAGTCATGATGGCCTCCAGAGCGGCTCCAGGAAAGGCCCCAGGGGTCGCCGTGGGCTCCCAGACGGGCGGAGATCAGAAGATGGATAAGGCATGATAGTGGCACGTTCAAGGATTTCCAGATGTTCCTGTTCTTCCGCTCGCGCTCCAGCGATCAGGACGCCAAATGCTCCAGAACTCCTGGAGCGTACCCTGAGCCAGCCACATCATGGCATCCTTCAAGGCCTCACCTCGGGCCAGGGCGGCCAGGGGCCGTTCGGTCCACACATTGGGGGGAAGGGAGAGGGGGCGAAAAGGACGGGTGCGCTGCCTGAGCCGAGGGGTTGGCGCAAAGTAAATCATACCGTGTCCCAGTCCATCCCCGGCGACGCCAACAGCAAGCCCGAGTGGGTCCTGAAGGGCTTCACCAAGGTGGCCCTGAAGCCGAACGAGCCGAGAACCGTCTCGTTCGTCGTGCCCCTGCGAGATCTCTCTTACTGGGACGACTCGCCGGGCATGTCCAAGTGGGTTTGTGCTGACGGCCAGTTCCGGAGGAGGGTCAAGATGAGGGCGGAGGAAGAGGAGGAGGAGGAGGAGAAGGAGGAGAAGGAGGAGGAGGGGGAGGGGAGCGAGGAGGAGGAGGAGGAGGAGGAGGAGCATGCTGAGGAGGGGAGCGAGGAGGAAGGATGACGGCATCCTCCGCCAGGCGAGTTCCGGGCGTGCGTGGGCGCGAACGCCCGAGACGCCGTGGCGCCCGGCAGCGCCGCCTGCGTCCGCTTCACTCCTCGGTGCAGCGGGGCCGCAGAGATCATGGCCAAGGACGAGGGCGAAACAATGGATTGAGTCGTCGTGCGGGCACGCCGCGTGCAGCATGCATACAGAGAGCGACGTGCAAGCACTGCCATTCGTGTAAGCATCCCTTGCCAACTCGGCCATGAAGCGAACGCGTCGCCGTGATCCCCCCCGCGTGCCGAGCATGCAAGCAATGCGCCACTCCCGCGTATGTGGCCGGTTTTTTATTCCTTGTTTTGCCGATCGGCGCGGGCCCTCGCACCCCCCCCTCCCCCCCCTCGTGGAGTGGCTCTTGGCTTTTTTTGTTGGCGCCCGTTTCGAGCAGGTGGAGTCCCCCCCCACACGATGGACGCAGTGCTGCAAACCGTCGCACTGAGCAGAGGTTCGGAGCCAGACCCCCTCCCCCTCCCCTCCCCCTCTGCCGCCCAATGTCGAAGCTTCGCATAAAACACGCCGATCATCCACGGCCTCGCGGCCCGGGCCCCTTTGGGCCGCGACCCCGCGGCTGCGGGGAGTGCTCTCCTGCGGATGCCCCCCCCCGGAGCGTATCCGTGCCACTGCGCATCCGCAGCATACGCGCCCCGGAGCCCAGACCGCGAGGGCGTGGGTGCTGGATGCGCCCGCCGCTCGCGGCCAGGACGAGGAGCTGCGCGTGGGCGTCGCGGAGGGAGCGCTCGCCTCCCACTTCGGCCTCGTCTTATTGGCGGCGTTGGTCTTCGGGGGCTGTTCCGCCGTGGCGCTCGCCCGGGCAGGCTGCAGGCGTCGGGACCACACTGCTGACGGCTTCGTGATGGTTGCCAATCCCGCCTCGTTCGCAGACGTCCCGCACCCATGCGGCTCATCTCCTGACCGGAGGGCAGAAGAGGAAGGCTTGCTCTGAGTCCGGAGTCTGAGGGGCTGACGCGCCACCTGGGAGCCTGGCGTACGAGAGTTTTTGTTCGCACGATGGCGCTACTAGCGTGGATGACCGTCGCGGCGCTGTGCTGTGCCCCCGTAGTCGATGCAGACATGTCAATTCGTCCAGGAAGTCCGGAAAGGGATCTTCCGCTCTTGAATTCAGCAGGCTAGAGTCAGCAGGTGCACGTGTTTTCCCATTGCTCCACCTATCTAGCCCCTGTCTTTTCCCTAATTCACCCGTGCCCGTCTGACGACATCCATTTGCTGGCGACTCCCACCAGATCGGTGCTGCAGCATAGCGCAGGCTTGCCTCGACCATGACTGGCGCGAGCGTGGCGGGGTCACCAGCAAGTTCGCGAGCTGCTGGTCGCTTTCGGCGGCGCGCACAAGAGGTCGGCCACGCGCAGAGAGGGGGTAGTAATGGGGGAGGAAGGAATGCTTCTTCGAAACACCCCTGCGTCTTAGAAGGCGCGGGCCTTGTCTGTAGATAAATGATGTTCCAACCCACTTTAGCCTTGACCACCAGAAAAAAATCGAGCATTAGAAAAGTATCCAACAACTCCAGGGTTTTCACGTGTCGGGCCCTGGGAGACTCGTCCGACACTGTTTCGACACTGTTTCGACACTCTTTCGACACTTTTCCAGGTGCTCGAAATTATTTCTGGGACGTGGTCCTCAAGTACGATGGGAGCCACATACCTGTAGATGCAAGGCCGACGCCTTCTAAGAGGCAGCCTCCTTCTACGAAGCCCCCCCCCTACCCCCTTGTGCGCGCCGCCAGAGGGGGGCGGGGCTAGGGGGGGATGGCAGGCCCTTCCTTTTACGAGGTCAGGGCGCCGACTGGTATCGGGGGGACGCGTAAGACTTGAGTTCGCCGGAGCTCGGGGTTCGCCGCTGCTTTTGGACGAGCCGGCCGTGGACTTTGACGGTCCAGTCTTCGTGGGATGTTCAAAGCGGGAGCTCGCGTCAAGCTCAAGGCTGGGTCTCGTCATTTTCACGACGGCCTCGTCAGGCCAACCCGCTTTCTCGGGACCAGAGCCTCAGGTCTCGCCGACAGAGGGGAAGCCTCCTCGGAGGGCAGAAGGGTTCCCGAGAAGGCCCCGGTCCCGGCGGCATCTCAACCTCACGGCGCGAGCTGAGTTTGGTCTCGTCTCGTTTCGCCTCCCTGCCGTCTTGGAAGGGCCTTTCTCCTGTCTGGCTGTCTTTAGGGCGGGTTTTAGTCTAGTCAGTTGAGTGTTTCAATGTGGTGATGCTGATGTCGATGGTGATGAGGATGACCATCCCATTTTAGATATACAACCAATCTCATCACCATCACCATGATCACCATCACCATCACCATCACCACCACCACCACCATCATCATCATCATCATCATCATCATCATCATCATCATCATCATCAGCATCAGCATCAGCATCAGCATCAGCATCAGCATCAGCATCAGCATCATCATCATCATCATCATCATCATCATCATCATCATCATCATCACTATCATCTTCCGTAGGACTCGGCTCAAGCCAGGCTCAAAGAGGGGCGCGGCCCCCTCCAGCCGTGCGGCCTCCTCGAGCCGTGCGGCCCCCTCGAGCCGCGCGGCTTCCTCGAGCCGTGCGGCCCCCTCGAGCCGGTATCAAAGTAGAGACTTTGAGAAACCCGTCAAAGATGGCGATGATCACCTTTCCAACGATACCTCATAAAGTTGCATTTTACAAGAAGATTCGCGACATGGAAGACACAAAGTGGCTGGATGGTGTATTCTTCAAAAACAATCAGACTAAGGACGAACGACTCGACGATAAGAGGCTTGGTTACACAAAGCATCATGTGTCTGAACTGCCGAAGCACCAGGACGACACGGTCGCCATCCTGTGGCCGAAGAGGATGGTCACAGTAAATGGGAAGAAGGTTGCGTGGTACGACTTTCACGGGCAATGGCATACGACCAGCGTGGGCAAGTCGGTGGGGAAAGAGGTAAACAAATCGTTGGACAATTTTCGGGCCAAACTTAACCCCGACCCCGACACGGACAGCGATCTGTAGGAGTCCGGAGAGCAACGAAACTCAGAACGACAGCGTTAACACCAACAATACGACAGCTTTGACATGCCTCCCCCGCTCTCCATTTCCATCTTCATTGACGCCCGCAGTACCCGCAAGGCGCGGAAAGCGACTACCTTTGCCAGGACATTACCAACAAGGTCTTGCTATCCTTCGATAAGGACGTGCTCTACCACTTCAAGTTCCACATTATTCTCAACACTCCGACTCCGGCTCCCTCCTCGAACCCCCCAGCCTTCAATTCCGGGACTCCGACTGGGGCACGAGAGACCCACGCAGCGAAGGTCACCATGTTGCCCAGCCTCAGGTTCTATCAACACGTGGAGGAAAAGGAGGAGGGCTAAAAGCTTATAATATCGTACCTGGCGCCGTTCCGCTGTGCATTCTTCAACAACGGCTTACGACTCCCGACTCCAGCCAGACCGATTCCGACGCCCAGCATGTATCAGTACAGATTCCAGTTCCCTCTCCTCCACTTCCACCCAGCAGCTATCGACTTCGGCCTCCAGCTTCCGACCTCAGCTTCCAACCTGCACCTACTGACCTGCGACCTCAACCAATCGACTTCCAGCTAGCAGATCTCGACTTTCAGCATATGCCTTCGTCCACATCCAGCCCTCGACCGTCAACCATCGACTTGCAACCACAATCTATCGACTTCCAACCACCAGACTCCGACTCCCAGCATCCACCGCCATCCAGCTCCAGCCTTCGACCTCCGCCCATCGACTTGCAACCTCAACCAATCGACCTCCAACCACCAGATACCGACTCCCAGCATCCACCGCCAGCCACGACCAGCCTTCGACCTCCACCCACCGACTCGCAACCTCAACCTATCGACCTCCAGTCACCAGGTTCTGGCTTCCAGTATCCACGGCCGTCCACTTCCAGCCATCGACCCCCGCCCACCAGGCACCGATTCCCAGCGTCCACCCTCGTCCGCCCACGCGCCTCAGAAGCCCGACTCTGATACGACGACTCCAGCTCTCCACCTCCAGTCTGCCTCACCGGTTCCAGCACCCATGCAGAGATTCCCTGCAGAGAATCCCCGCATTGAACACAACGACGTGCCACTGACAGTCATTTTAAATAATGCCAGATCTTTGCAAACAGACGACCGCATCGACGAACTCACCAAGGAACTCGACGACAACCAATGGGACTTTATCCTCATAAACGAGACTCGGCGCACAACCACAGAGGAGCTTTGGGTCACTACTCAAGGACACACGTTTGCTGGCAGTGTAAATACACAACGATGCCATGGAGTGGCGGTTCTGATCAACAAATTATCCCGGCAAAGCAACCTAACAGCGATGTGTAGGAGCAAATCTGGAAGCATTCCCCTTAAGATTCAGATGAGAATCCAGTTGTAGAATTCTGCTGTTCTCGCAGTCGTAGTCGCATTCGCGATGGCAGTCGCAGTGGCAACGGCAGTCGCAGTCACAGCCTCAGCCTCAGCCTGCCTCAGCCTCAGCCTCAGCCTGCCTCAGCCTCAGCCTGCCTCAGCCTCAGCCTCAGCCTCAGCCTGCTTCAGCCTCAGCCTCAGTCTGCCTTCAGCCTCAGCCTCTGCCTGCAGCCTCAGCCTGCCTCAGCCTCAGCCTGCATCAGCCTCAGCCTCAGCCTCAGCCTGCCTCAGCATCAGCCTGCCTCAGCCTCAGCCTCAGCCTGCCTCAGCCTCAGCCTCAGCCTGCTTCAGCCTCAGCCTCAGTCTGCCTTCAGCCTCGGCCTCAGCCTCAGCCTGCCTCAGCCTCAGCCTGCATCAGCCTCAGCCTCAGCCTCAGCCTGCCTCAGCATCAGCCTGCCTCAGCCTCAGCCTCAGCCTGCCTCTGCCTCAGCCTCAGCCTGCTTCAGCCTCAGCCTCAGTCTGCCTTCAGCCTCGGCCTCAGCCTCAGCCTGCCTCAGCCTCAGCCTGCATCAGCCTCAGCCTCAGCCTCAGCCTGCCTCAGCATCAGCCTCAGCCTCAGCCTCAGCCTCAGCCTGCCTCAGCCTCAGCCTCAGCCTGCTTCAGCCTCAGCCTCAGTCTGCCTTCAGCCTCAGCCTCAGCCTGTCTGCCTGCATCAGCCTCAGGCCTCAGCCTCAGCCTGCCTCCATCAGCCTCAGCCTGCCTCAGCCTGCCTCAGCCTCAGCCTCAGCCTGCTTCAGCCTCAGCCTCAGTCTGCCTTCAGCCTCGGCCTCAGCCTCAGCCTGCCTCAGCCTCAGCCTGCATCAGCCTCAGCCTCAGCCTCAGCCTGCCTCAGCATCAGCCTGCCTCAGCCTCAGCCTCAGCCTGCCTCAGCCTCAGCCTTAGCCTGCTTTCAGCCTCAGCCTCAGTCTGCCTTCAGCTCGGCCTCAGCCTCAGCCTGCGCCTCAGCCTGCATCAGCCTCAGCCTCAGCCTGCCTCAGCCTCAGCCTGCCTCAGCCTCAGCCTCAGCCTCAGCCTCAGCCTCAGCCTCAGCCTCAGCCTCAGCCTCAGCCTCAGCCTCAGCCTCAGCCTGCTTCAGCCTCAGCCTCAGTCTGCCTTCAGCCTCGGCCTCAGCCTCAGCCTGCCCCAGCCTCAGCCTGCATCAGCCTCAGCCTCAGCCTCAGCCTGCCTCAGCATCAGCCTGCCTCAGCCTCAGCCTCAGCCTGCCTCAGCCTCAGCCTCGCCTGCTTCAGCCTCAGCCTCAGTCTGCCTTCAGCCTCGGCCTCAGCCTCAGCCTGCCTCAGCCTCAGCCTGCCTCAGCCTCAGCATCAGCCTGCCTCAGCATTCAAAATGTGGCCCGGGAATGGAGTTCTGGGAACTCGAAGAACACGAAGTGGCCTACTGTTGGCTCCGGGCATTCAAAATCATGCCCACGAATGGAGTTCTGGGAACTCGAAGTCCACGAAGTGGCCTACTGTTGGCTCCGGGCATTCAAAATCATGCCCAGGAATGGAGTTCTGGGAACTCGAAGTCCACGAAGTGGCCTACTGTTGGTTCCGGGCATTCAAAATCATGCCCGGGAATGGGGTTCTGGGAACTCGAAGAGCACGAAGTGGCCTACAGGTGGCTCCGGGCATTCAAAATCATGCCCAGGAATGGGGTTCTGGGAACTCGAAGACCACGAAGTGCGTTACTGTTGGTTAAAAAAAGAGTCCCCGGCATCCTCCCCCGGATCGCGCCCAGACCCCCCTGGGGCGTCATGATGTTCTCTTTTGACCCTACTAGAAACCTGTCAGTCTTCGCTGTTAGGTACAAATGGAACAGCTGTATACGCAAGTTCGAAGCTGTTTCACCTCGCTTGGCAACGCTGTCAATACAGCGCGGGCGACTCAAGTTGCTATTCGTCGCTGCTTACTTTCCTCATTCAGGATATGGTGATCCGCGCGTCC